TCAGAAGTCAAATGATTCATAACTGTATCATCTCCTAGTTACATTTTTTTTCTACATTAACAATCAAAAACATACTTTCAGAGGTGGGAAGTAACAAAGTACAAATACTTCATTACTGTACTTTACTCAGGTATTAATTTTCCTGAAGACTTTTTACTTTTACTTCCTACATTTGAACACAAATATCTGGACTTTCTACTCCTTACATTCTCAAACCTGGCTCGTTATGACGGATGACGACGTGACATAAAAGACGTAACAACAAACGTCTTTATCTTTCCCAGCAGTGTGTGATTTGTCACTGAAGCTCAACACAGCCCTGCCTGTTTTAGCTGCCTGCCAGAGGCTTTTTAGGACTGATTTTCAGACCCATGTCTTCATTCAGAGAACTTTGAGAACCAGCTTCTGCTGAGTCCCAAAAAAGATGTTGGTAGTCTTGAAGAGACGAGTGTTTCCATGTTGATTGTAATGATGCTGAAATGGAAAACTGTCCGGTGATGTTTTTCTCTGTAGCAGCACTGTGCAGGTTCCCTAAAGGATGAAAACAATCCTATTGTGTGTGCTTAAAACTTTTTTCATTTTGGGGAGTTATCAAAAGAAGCATCATCGAAGCTAAAAATTCATTTGTACTTTTGTACTTAAGTTAATTTCTGAACCAGTACTTTTTTACTTTTACTGGAGCAAAGGAGTTGAATCAGTACTTCTACTTTAACCAGAGTCTGTTTTTACACAAGTATCTCTACTTCGACTTAAGTAAAGAGTACTTTTGCCATCTCTACATACTTTAGACAGACTATATTGAAAATGCAGAATCAAAAGACAAGAAAAGTAGAAACTCAACGCAACAGAAGTGAGAACACCTGTGATCTCTGACACACAAGATGGAAAATTTGTGATCACTAAACAGAGTACACCTGTGATTTTTATTTTTTTTTTAAATCAATTTAACCGCTATAAATTTCTCAGTTTGGGACCTTTCTGAGCCGTGTCTGTCTGCATCATGGCTCCACATGGAAAATAATTCCTTACTTGTTCATTTTCTGCTACTTTTATATTATAAAATGACGTGACTTGTACATGCATGTAACAGAGTATTTCGGTGTCGGTACGTTTTCACAAGTACACAACCTGAGAACTTCTTTTACACCTCTGATGTTTGTTCTCTGGCGGCTGCGGTGTGCAGATGTGCTCTGATGGAGTTTAATGTGCTGCTTTGTGTTCACAGTCGTCGGCCCACGCTGACTCTGGTGCTGCTCTTCCACTAGTGTTCCGTCCTCCAGGTAACATCAGCAACATCAAGACTTTGAACAATTTGTTTTCATCCGTTATTAAAATTAACTTGGGATTCAATGATTCGCTGAATTGTTGTTGAAACTGTTGTTATAGAAACTATGATGGCAGATAGTCGCGTGATTAACAGGCCTTTCAAAAAGCATCAGGTTTGATTGGCCTAATCAGTAAAGAGCTGCTTTTGTTGGGTGTGTTCCTTTAGAATTAGGGAATTCCTTGTACGTCTCTAACTTTATTTATTAAGCCAGGGTTTTTCTTGCAAAGAGTAATTTAGCCGCCCCAAGAGGTTTTAGGTGCAGAAAATCCCAGTGCTACAAATATAAGGAAAGCCGAGAATTTAACAGGAAAATGCACAGAATCCTGTCAGCTTTCTGTCATACTTTTTGACCCATGCATGTTGCCCCAAAATCTATACAGCACACAGTATGTAATACGTTTTGTACAATCACAATTCAAAGTACAGATGTTAATGCCTTTATTTCTGTCATTCTATTTCCAGCATTTTTGCCCATATCAGGACCGTTGGTACGTGTTGTCCTTTACTTATACATCACTCTTTTCCTTCTTTCTTGTGGTTGTTGAAGGAAACTTTTTTTTTTTTTCCCCCCCAGGTTTTTGCCAGCCTTTTGCCACATACTACCGTCAAATCTGCACTGTTTTGGCAGGTAGTGAAGCATATTCATCCCGTTATTAAAAACACGTGGCTGTCGTGTTGTTAATGTTAAAACTTGTTCTTTCAGTTTTTGCTGCAGAGTTACAACGCCGGGTTCAGCCACGCAAACAGAAACGCTTCCACAGAGCAGGTATGATGTCTTTGAAAGGTATCAATAGCACAGAAGCACATATGAAATCCCCCAAATACATCAAGATGTTCATATATGAGGTGGTTAAAGTATTAAAGAGGCTGCCAGAAACTTCGAGGTAATCAATTAAAAAAAAAAAAGTCAGACTTTTTTCATCTGAAGATCATATCTGAAATTAGTCCCTTTCTGTGATGTAGCAAAAGTTGTACTTTCTTTTATTTATTCTCGGCTTAAACACGTCACTTGATGCAACACATGATACTCGACTCGTTACCTGGAGAAACGTCAGCTCGGGCTCCCTGTTAGATTTTGAATTGATTTTGAAAAGGCCTCAAACGGCTGCGCTCCAGAACACATCTCTGTTACGTGTCCTCTGGATCACTGAGACCTGCAGGTGGCTCCCACCTCACAGCTTATGATGAAGAGTGATTGGACTTTTGTTGTTAGAGCTCCCAAACTATAGAATGAATCTGTAGCTTCTTTTACATCTCCTCTTAAAACTTCTCCAAATGGAAGCTCTTGGAACTGTTTATAATTAGTTATTTCTGTTTATTTGATCTTATTTATTGTACTGTTTTACTTTTTTGTGTACACGTGCATCATCCTAGTGCATAATTACTCTCCTTGCCTTTAATGTAAAAGCCTCTGCTTCACTCTGTCTCTTTATTTTTCACCTCCAGGGCAAGAAAACATCTTTGAAGCAGCTTCTGCTGATCGCTGGAACTGTCTCCTACACATCATGCGCAGGGGTGTGTATGACTTGATTGTGCTGATGTTTACTGTAATGCTTCAAGTAAACTGTTTTATTATAAATCTCCCATATTTTCTGTTTCAGGCCCTTCCTCAGATTTTAATTAACCGGCTCAGTATAAGAAGCCCAGACGTCCTGATGTTCTGCAGGTCAATAATTCCAATCCCACTCACAGGTAAAGGTTTTATTTAGAAACACAGGTCGAGTCATGGCTGTTTTCGTTCATATTTCACATTTAAACACAACAAAATGTTGACTAAAGTGTTGCACAATATCAGACAAATGAAAAAAAATCCCAATTAAAGCCATAAAACAAAACTAATCCCAATCATTGTGTGATGAATTATAAGTAGAGTGCAACCAGATAGGAGTTTAAATTACATCTAAACCAGAAAAATAAGCGAAAAACATGATTTTATTTGATTCACAAGTATCTGAGCTGCTGCTGAGAAAACCTGGCCAACCTTGAATTCCAGTCTAGATTTTGGAGCTACAAGGAGATGCTGGTCTACTGATCTGGGCGGCTGTGGCTCAGGTGGTAGAGCAGTTGTCCTCCAATTGCAAGGTTGGCGGTTTGATCCCCGGCCCCTTGACAGTCAAAGTGTCCTTGGGCAAGACACTGAACCCAAAGTTGTTCCCAATGGCAGGCAGCACCTTGCATGGCAGCTCTGTCACCATTGGTGTATGAATGTGTGTGTGAATGGGTGAATGAGAAACACATTGTAAAGCGCTTTGAGTGCCGCTAAGGTGTAAACGCGCTATGTAAGTGCAGTCCATTTACCATCTAAAGAAGGGACGTAAGAGTGCAACAGATCTAACGGATTAGCTGGAGTTAATCCATCCAAGCGCTGCTAAACATTTGACAAAATGTTCTAGTCAGTCCTGTACTGATCAGGTAGCCGGTGTGAGGACGTCAGGAACAGAAGAAATGTGCTCCAGTCGGGATCCCAGCTGCAGCATTTTGAACCAAAGTTGGTTGTTAGTGCCTGACCCCAAAGTAGGAGTGACCTTCTTCAGATCTTTAGAGGAAAGGACGGGCTTGACTGAAAAAATGAAAAAATCTTGCTGATTTGACTTGCACATGTAATTTAAAACCAAAAACACCACCGAGGCTCGTCACATGAGCTTTCCAAGATAAAATACTGAAGCATGAATAGTATCGTAGATGGCGCTGTCTATACATTATCAGTTCACCCTGATGTCAGACCAAAAACAGTATTTAACTTTTGTTCCCTTCCCACCTGGCCAGCCTCCACCACTAACATGTTGTGTAACTCTGTCCAGCTGCTTTGGCCTTCTTCAATGTGTTCACTGTCAGAAATGAGGAGTCAGAAACTGGGATCCAAGTGTTCGACCGCGATGGAAATCCTGTCGGCATCTCTAAAGCAGCAGCAGAAAAGGTTTCAGAAAGAAGCAAATCGACAACAAGAAGTCTTTTAATTGAGAACTTGTCGTATTAAGTTTTTTTTTCCCCTCCTATCATCAGGCTGTGAGGGAAACTGCGTTATCTAGAGCAGTGCTGTTTGGTTGCACCGCTGTCTTCCCTAATCTGCTGGTTTTGCTCTTAAAGAGGTCAGTGACTGTTAAATTTAGTTCTGCAAAAGACCACCTGGACAAAAAAAAAAAATCCCTGAATACGTTTTCCTTTGCAGAACAAGATTCTTCCAGAAGAACTCCCTGCTGGCTGCTCCTTTCCGGCACATCAGTGCTGTGCTCACCATGGGCCTGATGGTTCCTGTCTCATTCAGTCTCTTTTCACAACTGGGAACGGTGAGTTCAGGGTCCTCTGCTCAGCTCTAATGTTTTCCTTGTGATGAACTCGGCTGACTCTGGCCTTGTTTTACAGATAAAGAGGGAAGCGTTGGAGGAGGAGCTGCAGGCTGGAGCAGCTGGTGGACAGTTATTCTACCACAGAGGACTCTGAGGAGCAGCCAGATACACAATCAGCCCAAGCACACGCTGCCATTACCGATAACACAACCGTAAAAGTCTTCTGTAACATCGTGCAGCTCAAAAAGTTTGATGCGTGTGACAAACTCAAAGATGCGATGTGGTATTCATGTGGGATATTTTGTTTAAAAATGTTATTTAATTAATAAAACAAGCAAGAAGCTACTTGTTGATAATAAATTTATTTAGTTGGAATATTAGATGTATTTATAGATATAGCAAATCTTACATCAATTCATGAAAATACATTTAGTTTTCAAAGTTACATCAGCGTTTCTATTATTCTCGCTGAAATGCTGTGACACAAAAACCATCTGTTTGGCAATGTGGATGAAAATGTTCTCAACAGGAATCTACGTGCACATGAAAAAAACCCAAAAAACATCCTGAACAGTGAGACACGTAAGGCGACAGACACTCACTGGCCAATTTATTAGGTTCACTTATAAAATCCAAACTGTAATAAAGTCCAGTACAACACTACCACCCACCATGAGCTCAGTATTAAAGTAGAAATTTCTCCTTTTTGACGACAAAAACTGAAAATGTAGAAGCTTTGTAAAAGTAGAGTTAATGGCACGGCTGTTCCATTGGATTGTAGTTTATTTCTAATAAAGTGGCTGGTGAGTGAAACCCAATGTGGATATGGAAGCATTGATCATTTAAACCTTTTTTTTTTTTTTTAAGTATATATTTTTTAATAAAAGTACATTTGTAAAAGCCTCATAGCACAACACAGTTTGCTTGTATTTCAGTTGTGTGGCACTCATGTCATTAGTAAAATACAAAAATGTGACATTGTTAAAAACAAACATTTGCAACGAGTATTGCAGCTGCGACCTGATAACCACGTACAACGCAGTGTCTGTCAACTAACTCAATAATAGTAAGTGCTTGTCACATCTGGGTTATTTCAGCCGCTGCGCAAATACATCAGGGTGTGACTCTTCACAGCGAGCACACGGTGACTTCATCCAAGATTCATGATGTTTGGAAGTTTGGCGTTGCACTGTGGAGAGAACATCTGGAAAACACTGGCTGATGTACCAGCTGATCAGCTCATTTGTCTTGAATTCACAACATTACAAAAGCTCCTTGTTGCCAATTATTAATGTTAAAGGATGACACTTGTATTTTGCCCAATAATCCCATGAAAAGGCCACAACCATCACTGTGTTGGTCCATGTTTATGTCTTCAACAGTCACCGTTGTAATGGTATGCTGAATGCCAAATAAAGATTTACTGTGGCCCAATACATAGTATGTTAAATGCAGTGTGCCAGAAGTACCAGGATGTCCTATGATATCCAGTTGCATTTTGAAGTACGCAAGCCAGCACGCTCCTCTGGCCATTCTGACCCACAATCCTTTGCACAGCAGAGGACATACATCACCGTGTATCACTTGAGTTGCAAACTTGAGACTGCAACGAATATATGAGCACAGTGCAATGTTATGAAGAAGTAATATCAGTACGCACTGAAAGGAAAAATATAAATACAGGGATCATTTTTCAAAAAGCGGTCGGTAACTTCCTAAAACAGGCGGGCACTGAACACGACCCTGACAGCAACCAGTTGTGCATTTGTAGGGAACTACTTGTAGTTGCAGATTAATACATGTCCAGCGATATGTGAGCTTCACATAAACAGCACATAAAAGATGAGCGTAGCCCCCAGGAAAAGTGGATCGAATGCAAAGATCGAATCCTTGGGCACCCACGTCACAGAAGATCTAAAATGGACTGTCAACACCAACATGCTGGTAAAAAAGATCCAGCAGCGGTTATACTTCCTGAGAACACTCAGGACGACCTGTCCCAACACCTACATGTGGCCTATTACCACTGCACCATAGAGAGTACTGTGACTCATAGCATCCTGACATGGTACGGGAGTTGCTCTGCAGCAGACAGAAAGACTCTGCAGCGGATTATAAAAACTGCACAGAAGATCATCAACTCTCAACTACCAGCTCTGGACAACATCTTCACCACTCGCTGCCTGCAGAAGTCACACAACATCATAAAAGACCCGTCCCACCCTGCCCGACACCTCTTTGAACTCCTGCCATCTGGCAGAAGATACAGATCCATCAAAACCCGCACCACACGACTCCGGAACAGTTTTTACCCCACAGCCACAATCACACTGAACAATGAACCACACTGACAGTGGAAGTCCAATATTTGAACATTTGACTGTCCTACTGCATTGGCCGCGGTACATTTGGTGCTGATGTGAGTGTGTTTTAGAGTGTTGTGTGAATCAATGATCGGATGTTGTTGTGTGAGTGATGTTATTGTTACTTATTCTATTTGTTTATGAGTCCGTTTCCTGACTGTGCACCTTAATTTCGTTGTACACGCGTGTGTGATGAAAATAAAAGCATCTTGCATCTTGAAAAGTACTTTAAACGTGCATTCTTTCAAACAGCCAGCAGGGGGCGACTCCTCATAAAGCAAAAAGGATTCAGATTGTGTAAGTCTATGAGAACATGACCCCACTTCTCCCTTGATTTGTTACCTCAGTAAACATTTTCCTCATGAGTTTATGGTCCTGAATACGAGTTTCAAGACTTTGTGAACACAGAGTGATGTTAACTTTGTGAATTGTGGTTCCATTTAGAGTCAAATGGAGGACAAAGCAGGGAGATATGGCAGAGCTACCCTGTGATTGGATGTGTGTAGTGTCCTCGAGGCAAAGCACGCCACCCCTCCCTCTTAACATCCAGAGTCAATGGATCCACAGTGCCAGCATGTTCATCATACAACCGTATGTGCCATTTTCTTCTTGATGTGCTTTAGTAACTTTTTGGAAACAGTGATGCTCTATGTCACAGAGAAAATACACTATCAGACTTTGGATGGTTTTGGTCTTTTCATGGAATTTGTCAGCTGTAAAACTGTTGAATATTGCCAAACTTATCCTTTAATTCTGTGGTCCTGGTATTGGGACAAGAGTCACCTTTTATCAAATCTGACGCTAACGACTCTCTTCTTTCCTCGCATTAAGTTTGCTGTAAAAAAAAGTGGCTTTCAGAAAATGGTAACAACTCCAACGTCTACACAGCAGCACAGCCAGAGTCGGTGCTGCTCATGTCACCCTGCAGTGGAGCGTCTGAAAACAGCTTTTATATCCTTAAGAGTTGCTCGGCAGCTGCCAAATGAAAGAGGAAATTCTCGGTGGCCGGAGGGAAATGATGCTGCTTTAAACCTTCCAGAGTGATTTTAGAGTCTTCACACTCGTTAGCCAGGGCAACCAGGTTGGCAAGAATCTCTTTTGTCTTGACAGAAATGTCCTGTAAATAAACATTTAGGCATCTTTACGTTTCTCACAGTCAACGACATTACAGCTCTGTGATCTGACAGCGTTCTCACCTTAATGACTTGACTATCTGATCTCTCAGGATCCTCTGCAGACTGGACGATCAGTTGCCCAATCTCCTTGTGCAACTTCCCCATCGCCATGGCTTCTGTAGTGAAACACTGAACATCAGTCTGAGGAACTTAAAGTGCTCCTAGAAACATACTGCTCTCTGTGAACATGCTGTACCTTTGGCACTCTGGGATACTGTGATGACACTGTCTGAGAGGTTCACAAACACATCAAACAAGTCCGATCTGTTGCTCACTTCTGGATCTACAAACCCTGCGATGTATCCTGTGGAGAAAAGCGACATATTGGAGTATAAATAATTCATTTTCTCACCATTACATCACAGGGATCGCAGCACAGATGGTGGCTAATCTCCAGCCGTGAGGAGGAGACTCTGCACAAAGGCTTCCTGGTAATTAAGATAAATAGAGCAGGAGGAAGCCTCACCAGGACATTTCTTTAAATCCTCCAGTTCGGCATCAGTCAGGTGCACATATGGGTGCAGGATGGACCAGTCTTTCCTGTGCCAGGTCAGCGCCGGCAGAACTCTTGAGGGGAAACAGAGTAAAGAGTTACCTACACACGACAACAATCTTCACAACACAGTGGTGTTGAAAGTCTTAAACTCACCTCGTAAACTCCAGCAGTGCTTCAATCCGAGGGTGGTGGACGACGATCCTCTTCTTCAGCATCAGGGCGGTGTACAGGATGATGGTCTCCATGCCAAACTGAGACACCACATCTGAGATAGAGCAGAAACAGTAAACTGTTGACCAGCTTTCATCTCTGGAGGAGTCTGGGCTGCGAGCCAAGAGTACTTTTATGAACCACTTTCAGCCTCCGTTGTGTTGTCCTGCTGTTTCAGATGGTAAAATGTCACCTACATATATATCACAGGCCAGGAAGAACGTAAAACTGCTTTTTCTGCATTTTCTACTTCACATTTGGTAACTTGTGAAAGCCATTTTTCACTACTTGCTGACATTTTTTGAAACTTTTTCAGGGCATTTTTATGCCTTTTTTTTATAGTAGCAGTGGAGCGAGACAGTAAATGTGGAGAAAGCGTGGAATGAAATGCTGCAAATGGTCCCCAGTCAGGAAATGAGCCAGGGAATCGCTGCTCAGGACATTTGCGCCCATATGCAGCCGAACTTTGCTCTCTGAACATCCCTGTCTGCTGACATTTTATAGACCAAAAGTCTTCAATAAATAATCTGCAAACTACTCAATAACTAACATAATTGCTAGTTGCAGCCATTTGCATATACTAGTCGTACTTGCTTGTAGACTCCACCTATTTTACCATAATTGAAGGCTGCAGCTAATGATTATTTTGACCAATTAGTTTTATTTTCTTGCTTAATCAATGAATCCATTATTCTACAAAATGTAAAGAAACCGTGCAAATATGCATATCACAGCTTCCCAGAGCCCTAAGTGATGTCTTCAGATATATGTTTAATCATACGAACAGCCCAAACTCTGAAGATATTTAGTTTATTATCGTACATGCAGGGATTTATTGGTCCAGAATGGGCCTATAGGGAGTGACTAGACACAACAGTAAGCATGATCGATCCGTGTACTGTAAAAGAAAGCAAGTCTGTGTTACCTTAATTGAAAGAAATTATGTATTTCCCTGTTATTTCCATTTCACTACCAAAATGTCTATTATGCTTGAGTACATGGCACCCCGATTAACAAAATAGGTTAAAAATATGCATATATCTTTTTTTAAATTCTCAATTTTTACTATTTTGGCACTGGTGAATTTCTTTTACCAAAATCTCTTTAGGTGGTTGCCAAAAATTCCTCAAAGCAGGAAAAATCTGATTATGACAACAAACAAGCAAGAAACATTTACATTCGACAAACTCAAACCAGTTGATGATTGGTCGAAAATGACGGAAATCATTATTAAAAATGTCAAAATAGCAGATTATTTTTCTGTGGACCAATAAATCAACTGATGGCCTAAATGTGAAAAGTCTATTGTGTGAAGATGAGAAAGGAATCAGGCAAAGGTGGCCAATATCTAACAAACTTGATGTCTTACCTTTGATCGAACCTGCCAGGTACGCTTTCCGAACATCGTGGTCCTTAATGAGAAACGAGCCGTTTTCGTCGCTCTGACAGATTCCTTTGGTGAGGACGGTGATGTAGGCTTCCATCATCTTCACTGGACTGCCATGTTTGATGTACATCCTGAAGAACAGATTAAAAATGTATAAGCACTGTCCACAGTACGATGACCATTAAACAGCTCCTTTTCCACAAACACTGTTACCTGCAGAGTATTCTGCTGAGTGCAGCATACTTCTCAGGGTTGAAGTCTTTTGCTGTAACAACCATGGAAAAATGAGTGACCTGGAAAAGGAAGAGTGGAGACAAATGTCAATAGAAATACGTCAGACAGAAATACAGATGGTTAGTGCTGAAATCGTTAATAACAGTATATAAACTGACAATATGAGCAAAATGAGCTCTTTAATTCTCTTTATTCCTGTTTCTCTCTACTTTATATCACTGCAAACAGAATAGCTTTCAGTTTTGGGAAGCTAACTGGACAAAACAAGAGATCTGCAGATGTCAAAATACTCTTTGTGTAATTATCTTCCATAGCATCCATCCATCCATCCATCATCTATACACCGCTTAATCCTCACTAGGGTCGCGGGTGGGCTGGAGCCTATCCCCGCCGACTTAGGGCGAAGGCAGGGGACACCCTGGACAGGTCGCCAGTCTATCGCAGGGCCACACATAGAGGCAGACAACCAAGATCTTCCATAGCAATTAAACAAATTATTGATTAACTGTAAAAACAATCAGGAGGCAAATTGTTAATGAACATAACTAGTTCAGCTGTTAAATTCATCATCAGCTACTCTAGTGATTGAATAATTGGTTGAAGTCATTTTTAGTCTCTCACTCCAGATTTCTAAATTGAAATATTTTCTGGTTTCTTTCCTCCTCTGTGACAGCAAACTAATTATCTTTGGGTTGTGGACAAAACGAGACATTTGAGAACGTCATCTTCAATTTTGGGAAACACTAATTGATATTTTTCACCATTTTCTGACCTTCTACAGACCAAACAACAAGTTGATTAATCAAGAAAATAATCAACAGAATCATCAACAACAGAAATACCTGTTAGTTTTGGGGGAGTTTTTTTGCCTTCATTAGATAGGACAGTCAAGAGAGAGACAGAAACGTTGGGGAGGAGAATGGGGGAAGGAGATGCAGCAAAGGGCCATGAGTGGGATTCGAATCCATGGCCGCTGCATTGGGGACTATAGCCCCTGTACACAGATCGCCAGCTCAACCAGATGAGCTCAAACCCATAGCTCAGATTTTAACTTATTAATGATCCTGGTTTCTCTGTATGGAGACACTGTACCTTGCTCAGTGCTGTAGGTTCCTGCACCTCCACGGTGGTGATGTAGTACCAGGTACGACAGAACTGACCGAACACAAAGGTGTGGAAATCACGGCCATCCTGTGTCAGACAGCACTTGCTGAGCAGGACTTGCCTCAGTTCAGAGCCCACAGATGGATAACACCACACCCACAACGTGTCTCTGTTCACATCTTTTTCTGGTGGAGGAAAAAAAAAAAACACACCAAAGATCAGCATCATATATGAGCCTGAGCACATCCAGGAGTGGACAGACAGTAGAAACAGTCTAACTGAGGGTTTTCTTAAAGCATCACACTGTGGCTTGGAGGCATTCAGGAGCCCACCAGTGAGCAGCTCATTAATGCATTCAGGCCACACATGCAGCAGCAGCAGCAGCACTGAGCCCTGCTGAGGACCCTGTCAGGTCACACTGCTCTCATGTGACTCTCCTGCACGTTCACACAAACTTCACCTCACAGCCGACCACGAAGTAAGAAATGAGCCGAGAACTGAAACTCACCGATTAATCCGACGCTTAACATAAGCTGTGTTTCAGTCGTTGCCATATTCCATACCTGGAAGAGTTCAAAACACAAGTTACCAGGAGACTAACCAGCAGCCTCCTCCTCTGTGTGACCGAGGTTTACCTTTGAGAGCTCCTGCAAGCTCGAGACACCCCCAATGCGAAGCGAGGCGAGTTTAATAAGACGGAAAATGTCCAAACTTGTCTGAGGTCTGGGTGTGATTTCTGCTGTCAACAGACTTTCCTCCTCTCTGCGAAACCTCTTCCTTATTCCGGGACCCAGTGGGCGGAGACTCGCTGCTCACAGCCAATCAGAGCCGACCATACGTCAGCTGTGATGGTGTGTTCAATGTACCTGGGTTTTTAAATACACGAGTAAGTGAAACTGCTCCCACTCCCACTGCAGCCTGCTCTTCTGGTTGGATCATCCAAATTTGTAACTAATGCACCCACTGAATATAAATGTATGTCTTAAAGCCAATTTCCTTACAACTAATAATACAACTTTATTTCTGTTGCATCTATCAAGACAGGAAGTTGCAACGTGCCCTTTGAAAAAGAGCAACAGTAAAAAAAATAAAAATAAAAAAGCAACAATCAAAGTCAACAGAACATAAAAAAATAAAAAAATAAATAAAAACATCTTAAGTTATTATACAGCAGCTGGTCTGTACAGGTGAGTTTTCCAACACTTTTTAAACTGAGCCATCGACTCAGCTGTTCTGACAGTCAGGGGCAGATTGTTCCAGAACATCTGGGCTGAACCTGTAAAATCACAACCCCCCCTTTGTTTTAAGCCTGGACCAGGAGACTTCCAACAGCAGCTCATGTTTGATCTGAGGAGCTGAAGTGCAGAAGATGAGGTTAAAAGTTCAAAGATGTTGTGTGGAGCCAGATCATGCAGAGGCTTAAACGTAACTAACAACGCAGGGTTAGGGTTAGTTTAATGCAGTTAAATATGAGGCCTAACTAGATTAATTTAATTCTCTTTTTTACGAGGGGTCAGTGAACGCACCACCGGTGGAGCGCATACGGGAACTTCACCCTCCCAGCGCTGCCAGGTTGGTTAAAAACCCTCGTTTGGGAAGGGGTTATCTCTGAACATGTGATGCTATGGTAGGAATGTTCATTATAAAATGTTTTCAACATACATCATATGATATATATGTGACATATATTTTCTATAATGTGATTATTTAAAACATCAAAATTAAAATTCAGGGTTACATTTCAGTGTGTTACAGATGGCAACCAATAAATAATAAGAGGTCAGATTCACTAAGTACATGCATGGAGAGCAAATTAACATCTAACCAGTACATATGCTACAGCGAGTCACCAGTGGTTGTTGCTGGATATTAATGCATGTAAGCATGTACAGTAAAAGATTTCTAGGTATGGAATATTTTTGTTAATTATATCTTCTGGTTATTGATAACATGGAGTTAATCTGTTGGTCAAATTATAGCGCTGACTTAAAAAATGATCCCAGGGTTAGGGTTTACTAAAGGTTTACTGTCAGTGACCCTAAACGTCTTACTGTCATTCAGAGCAAAAAGCTTTAGTCATAAATAAAATAATTCCATACAACCCTATGATGTGGATGCTTTAATACATTTAAGGTGTATCATAATTTTTGGTTGAGACATAATTCAGTTTCTTGGCTCGAAAGAAATATAGGTTAATAAATAACTTGTTTTCTTGCTCAATTCTTAGTTGTTTTTTGAAAGGATTATGAAATGGAATAATAAAGTGAAAACCTCCCACCTGTTGTTCATTTTCTTCTTTATGAAACCCAACATAAATGAGACTTCTACATAAATTTGCATTTTATTTTGTTCATCTCATTAAACGTACACTTTTTAAACTTCAAAATATTCTCCATAATTTGTTTTTGGTTTACTTCTAATTTCGCTTTACATTCTGTTGGTGTAGGTCACGCTGTTGCTGTGAGATATCGCGAGACTTACCTGGCAACCCTAGCTAGGCCGCTCACGAGGTTCCTCCTTTCTCAGCCAGCACCGTTGCAACGGGTGAGTGCGTGGCTTGGATGGACTGGTAAAAATTGTCAAAAATTTACCCAAGTCAGCCCAGTTTGAGTTTCACTAAAACGCCACCAACATGCCGGCGTATTTTCAGCGGCCAGAGAATGCTCTGAAACGAGCGAACGGTGAGTAGAAACCCAGCGTCATGTTTCACAGATGTCACACATTCATGCTAACCAGCTAGCTAAGGCGAGCCTCGTCACTTTAACGCAGCGTGTTGTTAGCCGGCTAAGTGCTAAAGCTAGAATGGCGGGGAAGCCATATCGCTCTCCTTTAGCTGCGTGAGTGTGTAAGCTAACCGGCGAGGCCATCTTTGTGCCTGTTACAAAATCACTGACACATTAGAAAAGCTGTTGCTTGTTAGAGAGCATTTATCGCCGCCGGCAGCGTTTTGTCGTTACTGACAGCCTGGTAGCGACTGTTGGATTACTAATGTCCCGTTCACAAAGCACCGGTATCGGCCTGTGTCAGACAGATCTTGTTAAGCACAGCGTCGGAAGTTTTTTTTGTGTGTGTTGCTGCTAAACACGAGGACTTCTGTGTGTTTATGCCTGTGGTTACCATTTACTTATATCCTACTAATATGTTGACGCAGAGTTTCTTGAGGTTGGAAAGAAGCAGCCAGCCTTGGATGTTTTGTACGATGTCATCAAGAGCAAGAAACATCGAACATGGCAGAAGATCCACGAGCCCATCATGCTCAAATACCTGGAGCTCTGTGTGGATCTCCGCAAGAGCCACCTGGCCAAGGAGGGTCTCTACCAGTACAAGAACATCTGCCAGCAGGTGTGTGAGCAGAAATCTGTGATGTTTGCACATATCTGACTGTTGTTTATTCCACAGTCTTAAGTGTAATCTCTGACTTTGCATTCAGGTGAACATCAAATCCTTGGAGGATGTGGTCAGGGCTTACCTGAAGCTGGCGGAGGAGAAGACTGAGACAGCCAAGGAGGAGTCCCAGCAGATGGTCCTGGACATTGAGGATCTGGACAACATCCAGACCCCAGAAAGGCAAAATGAATTTCAACAAATGACTTGACGTTTTGCTGTCTGTTAATTTTGGTGGGTTATTAACGGGGAGCTTGTTGTGACTTCAGTGTGCTCCTGAGTGCTGTGAGCGGAGAGGACACTCAAGATCGTACTGATCGCCTCCTGCTCACTCCCTGGGTGAAGTTCCTGTGGGAGTCCTACCGCCAGTGCCTGGACCTGCTGAGAAACAACTCCAAAGTGGAGCGCCTGTACCATGACATTGCCCAGCAAGGTTGTGACACATTGCATATTTAATATTATTTGTCTTTGTTCAAAGTTAGGCTTGAACAGTTTATGACAAAAGCCATGAACATAGTTTTTAATATTTGGTCTTGTTCCCTGCAGCATTCAAGTTCTGCCTGCAGTACACCCGTAAAGCAGAATTTCGCAAGCTGTGTGACAACCTGCGTATGCATCTGGGTCAGATCCAACGCCACCACAACCAGAGCACCGCCATCAACCTGAACAACCCTGAAAGCCAGTCCATGCACCTGGAGACCCGTCTGGTGCAGCTGGACAGCGCCATAAGCATGGAGCTCTGGCAGGTTTGTCCACCTAACACTCAATCTCTTGAATGACCATACTGGCATACTCGTGTATGAAATATTTTCATCAGTGAGTTGGAAAGTCACACTGATAATATTTAGTATATTTGTATCAATTATTGCAAAAACTTAACACCTCTGTAGTCCTTTAACACAGCAGCCCCCAACCTTTTTTGCACCACGGACCAGTTTCAAGCAAGACAATGTTCTACAGATCGGTCACTGCACACATATAATAATTGTTTTTTCTGGTAAAAAAAAGTGTCATAAATGAATAAAATTACTTTTTATTGCTAAATAATGTATTCACTACTACTTCTGTCTCAGCATCGAGTCTCTCCCTCTTCTCAAAGAAGCTCGCTAGGGAAGTTAGTTTTTTAAAATTTATTTTAACAGCGGTCATTTTTCAAAATAAAACACCCTGCCGACTTCGCCGGAAATAAAACGTTTTTATTCCTTCTGTGTGGCCTGGTGGTTGGGGACCGCTGCTTTAACATCCCTCCAGTGTCCTCCATTGTAATTATGTGTGTGATACTGTAACGTACAGATAATAATGGTACTGATGTGGTTTTTCTTATTTACAGGAAGCGTTCAAGGCCGTTGAGGACATCCATGGCTTGTTTGCGCTTTCCAAAAAGCCTCCCAAACCCCAGCTGATGGCCAACTACTACAACAAGGTGTCCACTGTGTTCTGGAAATCTGGAAATGCTCTCTTCCATGCCTGCACTCTCCACCGGCTCTATCACCTGTCCAGGGAGATGCGTAAGAATCTGACCCAAGATGAGATGCAGAGGTATGTTGTTCGTAGTTAAGTGAAGTTTTTCCTTGGTCGTGGCAAAATAGTTAATAACACTTCCTTTTGAACCTCAGGATGTCCACCAGAGTCCTCTTGGCCACGCTGTCTATTCCCATCACTCCCGAGCGCACTGACATTGCTCGGCTGTTGGACATGGATGGCATCATTGTGGAGAAACACCGCAGGCTGGCCACCCTTCTGGGCCTGCAGTCTCCACCCACCCGCCAGAGTCTCATCAATGACATGGTACATGATGCGCCCAAGAAAGGAGACTTGCTTTATATTTCAGCAGTGCACCAGAATATTTCTTTTGTAATTAGTACCAAAAAAATGCTCGGTTAAGACTCCTAAAAAAATACTCTCATACAAATTTATGTTTTCCTGTTTCTGTTTTAGGTGAGATTCAACTTGCTGCAGTATGTAGTGCCTGAAGTGAAGGAACTTTACAACTGGCTTGAGGTGGACTTTCATCCTCTGAAGCTGAGCGGAAGAGTCACCAAGGTAAAACATCCAGCACCATCTGACAACGGCTAGCCTAATAATAAGGAACAAACACCATTTATTAGCAACCTTTATCAAACATTTTTGTCTGTAGTTTGTGGTAACAAACGTACTCTCCTCCTAGGTGTTGAACTGGGTGAGAGACCAGGCTGAGAAGGAGGCAGATCTGCAGCAGTATGTTCCACACCTGCAGAGTAATACCATCCTGAGGCTTCTGCAGCAGGTAAATCTCATTCTGGTCAGTCTCTCTAAAATCACCTTTTCTCTGTCATGGTTGTAATGTCTCTGGTTGTTCTGCTTCCATTATTTTAGGTTGCACAGATCTATCAAAGCATCGA